ACTAGAGTGATTGATTGAGTGTGAAAATTGAAAGAGGAAAAGAAGTTTTTGTTATTATTTTTTTTAATAACTTTTAATTCCGGATTAAATTTTTATGAGGGTCCGTCTGGAATGGAATGGAAGAATTTTTATCGTCGTCGTCGTCATCATCATACATACAAACAAACAAACATACATGCATACATACATACATACATACACACATACATACATACATACATACACACAAACCATTTGCTTACGTCAATTTTTTCACATTAACCATTTTGATCAAAGAATAAAGAATCGGAAAATCGAAGTGGAATACAAAAAGCAATAAAAAAAACAAAAATACAAAACATAAATATACAAATACAAACATGAATACAAAAATATACAAAGTCTATATACAGAATAATACAAAACTAACAGAAAAAACTTCAAACTTTCAATCACTGCCGGGTAATAAATTTCTCTTGAGAATGATATTTTTTTCAATTTGTCTCCAATTTATCTGTGTATCTGTATGTGTGTGTCTGTGTGTGTCTGTGTGTGCGTGTGTGTTTTTGTGTGTGTATGTTAGTATGTGTGTGCGTGCGTGTGTTAAATGTTTCTTTTCCCTTTTTTGAGCACATTAAATTGAATTATACGCATTTGAGGCCCTTTTCAATAAACTTCCATCATCACGTCGGCCCGAAAAAACGGAATGACGTCATAATGACGTCATAATTTTTTTGGTTGTTTTCCAGAAAAAAAATATTTTTGACTCAATAATAATAATAATAATAATATAATAAATCGCCATATTTGCACACCACACACACACACACCACACACACACACTTCTGACACATTCATACACACACACACACAAACACACACACACACATATATATATATATATATATATATATACACACACACACAAATATATACATATATACATATGCACACACGCGAAATTCACTAATAAATACAAACACAACAATACTTAACCACATGCAGACAAACATACAAGCAAACAACATACAATCTTTCATACATACATTTATTCATATCTGCATACATTCAAACACACATACAAACATACACTCGAACATAAAAGGGAAATGTGAAAGAGAGAGAAAGAGAGAGAGAGAGAGAGAGAGAGAAGATGTCCTTCGTGTGCGTAACAATGTTTATCTTCTCCTCCTGATATTCATAAAAAAGCATATGGCTCGTGAATAAATGAACGAACGAATGGAGACTAGATGAATGAACGAACGAATGGAGACTAGATGAATGAACGAACGAATGGAGACTAGATGAATGAACGAACGAATGGAGACTAGATGAATGAACGAACGAATGGATGGATAGATGCACAAATGAATGAATGAATGGTAGATGGGGTGGTTGAATGGATGGAAAAATGAGTGTATAAAAACGAACGGATGAACAAATGGATGGGAAAATGAATGAATAAAAAACGAACGAATGAACAAATGAATGATTGAGCGAAGAAACAAACGATGAAAGAATGAAATTAGGAGAGATGGAGGAATGAAAATACATACTGCGAATACTAAAACGTTTACATGAGCGGATATTAGGCATAAACAAACATCCCACTGCTGACAACAAACCCTAAGTACGTATATACATACAAGACATACAAAATAACATACAAACACACAAACATACAAACTTTAATTTGTATTTTTTGTGTTTATATGTTACCAATACATACGCGCGCTCTTACATTCATTCGTACATACATGTTTAAAGAGTTTTTTGTTTATTTGTGTATTCAAAACAAATATGTAATTTAATTTTCAACATACAAACAAACACAGAGACGGACAAATAAATGATTTTTGATACAAAACAAAAAAATATTTATTAGAGGTAGTTTGCAACCGTGTCCAATGATAAACATATTTTATTTGCTTAATTTGTATGTATGTATGTATGTATGTATGTATGTAAGTATGTATGTATGTATGTATGTATGTATGTATGTATGTATGTATGTATGTATGTATGTGCGAGCCCTTGGTTAAAAACAATAGCCATAAAAACTATCATTTCGCCCCTGCTCAACAGATAATATTAGTGTACAGGGTCTCGCACAGAAGGGCACTTAGCAATGTATGTATGTATGTATGTATGTATGTATGTAAGTATGTATGTATGTATGTATGTATGTATGTATGTATGTATGTATGTATGTATGTATGTATGTATGTATGTATGTATGTATGTATGTATG